CATATCTCTCTGTTTATTGTGAATGTGTTTTTACAAGCAAACATAATCTTTTAAGCAGATTAATATTTTTAAATCATACCAGACAAAAAGGATTTCTGATTGGTTTTATCTCTTGATTTAAATACATGTATTAAAACTGTACAGTATCCAAATCATTTATAAAAAAAACTTATGTAGGACATCGGGACATCGCGAATTCTACACGACGCGAATCTAGATTTTGTTGGTAAATCGTGAAAAATAGACGGCACGAAAAAATTTCCCGGTTTACAGTATGCAAACCGAAGAATTTTAGGGAATCTGTAGTATCAATGTCTCGTTGTCATATCTCTGTCGACAATAGGTTAATGCCTGCATGGTGTACTAAGCCATACGTTACTATTCGTCTCGGATGTGTAGGTTTTTAAACGAAATTTGAATAATGGTATTTATATGCAAACTGAAGGGTCTAAAATTTAAATGATTTATGTGAAAAATAATGATTACATTATTATGTAATCATTATTTTTAATGATGAAAAATTATGACACAGAGTCACTCAAAGCCTACCGAATTATAAATTCTAGCCTCCTTACTTGTATGATTATTTAATATGAAATTAAGCATGTCAATGTGTCCATTGTACACGGATGCCCATCTCGCACTATCATTTTCTATGTTCAGTGGACCAGGAAATTGAGGTCAAAACTCTAATTTGGCATTAAAATTAGAAAGATCATATCATAGGAAACATATGTACTAAGTTTCAGGTTGATTGGACTTCAACTTCATCAAAAACTACCTTGACCAAAAACTTTAACCTGAAGCCAGACAGACAGACAGACGGACGAACGAACAGACGCACAGACTAAAAAACATTATGCCCATAGGTGGGGCATAAAAAAACAGCGCTTTTGCTTAGGACTAAAGTTGAAATATAGCATTTGCTAATAATCCATGCAAAATAGTAAGATGTATATTCCAGAGCGTATAATGCAAAAAAAAAGTGTATAGGAAAAATAAACCCAACAGCAATATTTTACCAAGATGATAATGATGGAATGGAATTCTAACGTCCAGTGACATACATTACATGCATGTTGGAACAGAAACTATAAATTGACAATAGGTTATAATACCATTGGAAAATATCTAAATAGATTTTTACTTCATCAAATCTTTAGTTGGAATTATTTAGATTTTCATAAATATCATTCATTACACCAGAAGTCATTCATAAACAAGTGGCATTAAAATTAACTCCACGTATGAGTTTAATAATGTCTAGTGTATCACTGTCAAACTCCAGACACATGCTGTATATTATACCTGATAGTTTTTAAATGGAAAGTTTCAAATTACCGGCCGTGTATGCAAAGCAGTGAAACGATGCATGAGCCTGCATCACTTAATTGTGTAATAAGAGTGTTTAAGCAAGACAGGAAATCGCTTGAATACCTGGATGTGTCACCTCACAATACCTCTGGCAATAATTCCTTTAGGTATGCTGATGATCAAATAAGGGAAGGGCCGAATTAAATAAATATATTTATGACATAAAAGAGTTATGAACAAATTTGATTTTTATAAACAATTTTACACGGAATACAGTTAATTATGACCTTAAACTATAAGAGATGAAAGTAATCGCTCTAAACTAATTCCCCTATATTTACATGTTTCCTAAAATCATAAGTTTTAAAAACAACAGACCATAGTTGTTTAAAAAATTTAGATATCCGATCGGCAAACTTTTCCTACTATTAACCCTTTTTTAAACATTCTCCGTATCAAGTTAGTTAAAAACAAGCATTCTGTGAGTATTGCATGGCAATACATAGTCCCCTACCGGTTAAAAATTCATAGTATTGGAACAAAATTCTAACTTGATCTATAACTTGTCATGGTGTAAACTATATAACAAATATCTTCAAGCATGACGAAAAAAGTGTTGAAAACTGATTAATTAAGGGAATTTTCTAAGTCCAAGGACCATAACTTTGCACAAAATCATCAGACCGGAACAAAATTCAAACTTGAACTGTAACTTGTCATGATAAAACTATATACCAATTATCAAATCAATATCTTCAAGAATGACAAAAAAAAGTGTGGAAAACTGATTATTTTATTGAATTTTCTGAGTCAAAGGACCATAACTCGGCACAAAGTCATAAGACCGGAAAAAAATTCGAACTTAATCTGTTACTTGTCATGATAAAACAATACAACAAATATCAAATCAATATCTTAAAGCATGAAGAAAAAAGTGTGGAAAACTGATTTGCCGGACTGACGGATGGACAGACGGAAGGAGTGCAAACCTAAAGTCCCCTTCGACTTCGTCGGTAGGGAACTAAAAAGTTTGCCTATAGGTAGCACAACCATGTCTAGTATAATTATTTTTTTAGGATCCGTGAAAGTGTGTATGCGTTTGTCATTATCTTGTCGGGTAAAACAACCGTACCATTGACAAGAGATTTTTTACACTGAATACACTGAATATTACGACTACATTAATCCCTGCTTGTTTTGGTACTTTGTGGTTTATAGATATTTGACGGTTTTGACCCGAGAAGCCGTCAAGATGACTACGTGTAGAGAATTGATATTCTCAATTTAAAATCGATGGTGATATCTTATCTAAGAAAATAAAACATTGTAAAGAGCCATTCTCTGTAAGCATCAAAGAATTTCAAAGAAAATGAGAAATGCATACTCTAGGATTTCCTTTATTTTTATATCATGGGTTTGTCATGGTGCACTGACAACAAAAATAATAATCATTTCAAAAGTTGAAGAGTTGAGTTGCCATGGAAACAAGATGCTTTGAGTTTGCTTGAAAAACGTCATAAATGCTCGGTTAAAAGTCATTTTTTCCCCACTTTTTCTTTTGCTATTAAAATATTATATATTAGTGTTTCAAAATAATATTTGAAAGTTTGAAAAATTCTTTCACCTTAAGTAAAAATTTTGAATTTAAAAATTTGTAGTTTTTCCAAAAATCATGATTACAAAAATTCACAAAATAACCCATTTTTATGACTCCAAAATGTTTTATTCCAGATTTTGTGGCATAAACGAATATCATCATTTAAAATATTGCATCTGATGCATTCTTGACAAAAAAATCTTCGAGAGTATATTTTTTTTAAAATTTTGATTGAAAAAGTTCAATTTTGAGTTTTTAAAAAAAAAATTTTTAATCTTATAAAAATTTTCCAGACATAAACATTATTCATGCAATTATTTCATATTTATTGATTAGTTATGTTCAAGCAATAAAAAGAAAATAAACTACACACATTTTGATACCTTACATAGTCAATGATAACTAAATACAATTATCATGTATAAGTATGAAAAAATGGGAGATCTTCTCCTTCAAATGATCTTAGTCGGTTGACTTTTTCCATATTTTCCCTAATAAGCCAACTTAAACATACATTTCGGATGCAAGATGTTGGAAACTGGTTGCATAATAGTGAATGAATTAATTTCAAGATTTCAAATAGTTGCCTTTCTTCTTACATACGTGTCGCAATTGTTTTCGTAACCATAGTAAACATTGCTATAAAAACTTATGTTTCGATAACTTGACTTGATGGAAAGTTACAAAAAATTAAATTGGAAAACAAAATTGTCAAAACATTAGATTATATAAGTCAACATGTAAGTTTATCTAGCGAAAAATTTGGTTTAGAATCTGGCAATCTGCTAAATGTTGCATTATTAATTTCAGTGTATAAGGAACCTACTAAATGAGCTATTGACCAATGATCTCTGTTGAATAATGCATACATTTGTCGATCCAAATACTAAATCAGGCTTACATCCAACATAGTAAGATTAAGAGATTGTAGATTTAAATTAAAATAAATGGGGAATGTTCCATGGGACACAGATGATGACCCCTCTTGCATATAACGTTATAAAGGGACAAAACTCAAGAACTGTAAAAGTGACGCTACTCAAAGTTGTACTTGATCTGAGTTTTGTGGTAATAAGCATTGTGTATACGTTTCATAGCATTTAGTAGAGGCAAACTTAAGTTAGAGAACGGAAACGAAAAATTCAGCAATTTTTCCATTTGTAAAGGGGCATAACTCTAGAACGGTAAAAGTGACACCACCAAAATTCGAACTTGATCTCTGTTTTGTGGTAATAAGCATTGTGCATAAGTTTCATAACATTTGGCTGAGGCAAACTATAGTTAGAGAACAGAAACGAATATTTCAGCAATTTTTCCATTTCTAAAGGGGCATAACTCTAGAAAAGTAAAAGTGACACCACCACAATTCAAACTTGATCTGTGTTTTGTTGTATTAAGCATTTTGTATAAGCTTCATAACATTTGGTTGAGCCAAACTAAAGTTAGAGTACGGAAACAAAAAATTGCTAGAAAAATTTAGCAATTTTTCCATTTGTAAAGGGGCATAACTCTAGAACAGTAAAAGTGACGCCACCAAAAATCAAACTGGATCTGTGTTTTTTGGTAATGAGCATGGTGTATACGTTTCATAACATTTGGTTGAGGCAAACTAAAGTTAGAGAACGTAAACGAAAAATTCAGCAATTTTTCCATTTGTAAAGGGGCATAACTCTAGAACGGTAAAAGTGACGCCACCAAAATTCAAACTTGATCTGTGTTTTGTGGTAATAAGCATAGTGTATAAGTTTCATAACATTTGGTTGAGGCAAACTAAAGTTAGAGAACGAAAACCAATTTTGGGACGTACGGACGTCAAGGGTAAAACTTAATGCCCCCTCTGCTACGGCGGGTGCATACAAAATTTTTTTAAGTTCTACAAATGTTTGATGCAGCAATGATTATAATAAGATAACAAGTATATCCTGCAAAGAAAAGAATATCATTTACATTGGTTTCTTTTCTTAAACTTTTTGATTCGAAATAATTAAATCAACTTTGATAGCACTGTAATATTATGTTGGAGTTTGGTTTTTTTTTTTTAAAGGGGGGGGGGGGGGGGGATTTTCTGTTTTAATATAAAAAAAATCCGGACAGTTTGTTGATTTAATTACTTGAAACTAATATGTTCAATACATGTTAATGTTTATAAAAATTGTCATTGCAAATTTTGCTGAAGTTCTGTAATATATTGCTCTCTAGCCGCACCATGTTTTCTTGATTGATGGGAAAAAAGGATTATTATTTGTTGAGGTGTTTAAAATTAATCTATTTCAAACATTCTACTGCCATCAGGCTTTGTCGAAAATATCAAGTACTTTCATACACTTTTATTGTCTTCTTGGTACCTACACAATATTCCATTGTTAAATTTTGGAATAAACAATTCCTTTTGTTTGTTAGTGAATCTCACATTTTTGTCTACCTCCCTTTAATTCCAAGTCCATCTGTAATATGTTGACAAAGCAAATGGTGCACTAGTTGAGGCAATTGCTGTCTGTTTTCTTTTTAATATCAACATACGGGGTAAAGGTTGACTGCTTCAACTTTGTTTTTTTCTCAGGCTGAAGTTCACAGTTATCCAAAGTTTAGTTCTGGCATTCCTCATTCAATGTATTTAGAAAAAAGTCATGCAATGATCGTTGGAGCAACCAAAAACATCTTTACTTAAGATTTGTTTGTCGGTCTAGTTACACTGTGAAAGTGACATCATATTATGAATGTTCAACTACTTGGTCTTGCATAGAAGGAACATGCACACTAAAATCATCAAGTTTCTGGATTACGTTTCCTGAAAAGATATACACATTTTAATACAAGATATTATTCCACTGTATGTAATTATTGATAGCGAAATCAACATTAGATTGGTTGAGACGGTCACACGTGACATTGAACAAAACTTCATATTCCCCTCTGAAGGGACTCTGAAGATCGGGACTATCTTGTGTGACGTTACGAGCTGTTAATGTACATAATGTTCTGAATATTTTTGGAATAGCAATAGTAAATTTTTTTTTGTGTTCAAAAGTTATTTCAGACATAAATAAAATGCTCTGCTGGATGCAGCTTGATAGAACCGCAGAGTTCAAAACCTAACCAGTTTGGGCAAGTATGGACACTACATTCAAGCTTGATACAGCTCTGGATTTGGATGGTGATTAAATATTTGACACAGCATAGGTTTCTGACAAGATTGGATGTGGTCAAAGAGCTGAAAATTTTGAAATTGGACTTTTACCTTTTATGGTCCAATATCCAAAATCTAAATACACACTTAGATTCAGCATATCAAAGAACCCCGTATTTTCAATATTTGTTGAAATCAAACAAAGTTTAATTTTAGACCCCGATTTAGACCAACTTGAAAACTTGGCCCAAAACCAAAAATCTATATACATGTTTAGATTCAGTACATCAAAGAACCCCTTGAATTCAATTTTTGATAAAATCAAAATAATTTAATTTTGGACTAAATTTAATTTAAAAACCGGTCCCAAAATCAAAAAACTAAATACACTACAGACCAGGTGGACTTTGTCATTTCCATGCACCCATGGGGGGGCAAAGCTATGCTGTCCACTTTAGTTGCCCATCCTCTACCGTGGACAGCTGTGGACAAATCAGCCGTGGACACAATGCCCACAGCATATGGAGGAAAAGAGTGGGCACAAAATTCCAAACACAATTCAGAATTTTGGGAATGTTAAAGGCCCTTCAATCAGTTAGTTTTCATTATTGTCTGCGTTTATCATCGTTTGTTGTAAGTGGAGTAAACAGTTTTATTATTATAAAAGTTACAGAATTAAAATAAAAAAATGATGTGTTGTTTGTTTTTTATATTTATATCTCCGTAATGTATTCCTTTAAATCAGTTGTTTGCCTTTGAAAGGAACAATTAGGAAAATCTATACACAGGAACTTATTACAAGAAGTCCGACTGGTCCGACAGTTGTCTGACAGTAATTAATACCTGGTGTGATATTACTGGAAGGTTGAAAATTAATCTGTAGCTGATTGATAAAATTCTAATCTTACCTGTAAAGATATTTTAAGATTTGTGGATGATTACTTCATCTAACATATTTCATAGTCATTGTTAAGATAATTACGGGTAAAAAAGGTACTGGAGATCGAAAAAACAAGTTACTTTCTTTAAAAAAAGAAAAGCAAAACGTGAACACGAGACAGCTGACTGGTCACCAAAAAAATGTTTCTGAATTTTTGGCATAAGACTTGAAATAATTGACTAAATAGAATAAGGAACTGATGATGTTAAAACAGTTTTATTGAAAATATGTAATTGTGCGTAGATTCGTTCACAATTCAAATAAAAGCAATGTTGTATTTTAGTTGTAAATAGAAAAGAGTATACAACTACTATGTGAATTTACCTTTTAAGGCTTGACTATTTTATCTATTACTTGGGACTGTTCATCAGTTTTTCTTCGTGTTTAAAGGGAAACTTCCCAAAAAATAAAAATTTTATATCATGTTTATTTGATATAAATATGCATATTTCCATTTATATTAATGTTTTATTCTCCTAAATATGTGATCAAATTGGATTTTTAAATCTGACTATCAATTTTTGACATGTCACCATCTTGATAGCATCTCGATACAAATAATCATGTGATATCTAAATACCACAAAGTCCCAAAACAAGCATGGCATACCGTATTTTCATTTCGTGTCAAAATGATGTTGATGTGTTTCTGGTCAACTTTCTATGTTATATATTTATTAATTCAGGGTTCTTTCCTAATTTGATAATCGGCATGGCTTAATAAGTTAATGCCAGAGGTCATGTCACATTCGAGTATTCTAGCGAACTCCTGGCGGGCATAACATTACAAAATGCGGCTATCCATGCATGATCGCTTCCCTGCTGAGTGAACCAGGTGTGCACAGGTAAAATTTATGAAACATGCCATACAAAATGCTGCCAGATGTAATATACATCCTATGTACAACTTTCCTACGCTAATAGTAAAATACAAGACATGAATAATGAAATCATACAAATATCAAATTGAGTGTGTACAGTTTATTTAACACTGAGCCTAAATATTAATGGAATGTATAAAGAACGAAATGTATGATTATTGTGAGATGCACCAGCTGAAGATAAAGATGAGAAAGCCTATATTTTCAAAATTTCTAATGGTTAAATTTTGACAAAAATAAATGTGGATAGTGTCCACATGTGGACACAGATGATGTCCCCGCTTGCATATCATATAGTTATAAAGGGACATAACTGAAGAACGGTAAAAGTGACGCTAAGCAAATTTGAACTTGATCTGAGTTTTGTGGTAATAAGCATTGTGTGTAAGTCTCATAACATTTGGTTGAGGCTAACTTAAGTGGAGAACAGAAACTAAAAATTCAGCAATTTTTCTATTTGTAAACACGCATAACTCTAGAACGGTTGTGTATAAGTTTTATAACATTTGGTTGAGACAAACTAAATTAGAGAACAGAAACGAAAAAATTCAGCAATTTTTATGTTTATAAAGGGACATAACCCAAAAATGGTAAAAGTGTCGCCCCCAAATTTCCTACCTAATCTGTATTATGTAGTAATAAGCATTGTGTATAAGTTTCATAACATTTGGTAGAGGCAAACTAAAGTTAGAAAACAGAAACAAAAAAATTGTACTTGATCTTAGTTTTGTGGTAATGAATATTTTGTATAGGTTTCATAATGTTTGGTTTGGGCAAACTTAAGTTACAGAATGGAAACTAAAAATTTTGCAATCTTTCGATTTATAAAGCGGCATAACTCAATAATGGTTAAAGTGACACTACCCAAATTCAACTTGATCTGTGTTTTATCAGTGGAAGTCAAAATTAAACATTGCATTGTATAAAGCATAGATTGTAGTTGATTCAACTATAATCATGGACAAAGGAAGATAACTCCAATTTTAAAAAATTACTTGATACTTAGAAGAAAATAAAAATTTTGCAATTTTTCCATTTATAAAGGAGCATAACTGTAGAATGGTTAAAGTGACGCCACCAAAATTCAAACTTGATCTGTGTTTTGTGGTAATAAGCATTGTGTATAAGTTTCATAACATTTGGTTGAGGCAACTTAAGTTAGAGAATGGAAACCTAAAAATTTTGCAATTTTTCCATTTATAAAGGGGCATAACTCTAGAACGGTTAAAGTGACGCCACCAAAATTCAAACTTGATCTGTGTTTTGCGGTAATAAGCATTGTGTATAAGTCTCATTACATTTGGTTGAGGCAAACTTAGTTAGAAAACGGAAACTAAACATTTTGCAATTTTTCTATTCATAAAGGGGCATAACTCTAGAACAGTTAAAGTGACGCCACCAAAATTCAATCTTGATCTGTGTTTTGTGGTAATAAGCATTGTGTATAAGTTTCATAACATTTGGTTGAGACAAACTCAAGTTAGAGAACGGAAACCAATTTTGGGAAGTACGTTCGTACGTACGTACGAACAGACGGACAAGGGTAAAACTTAATGCCCCCACCGCTACTGCGGGGGCATAAAAATAGTATAAACTCGATGTTCATAATAATTATGGACATTTTGTTAATTATATATAAATTTTGATTGACATTCAAGCACAGAAACATATGCATTTTGCACACAAATGTCATAGAGTCGACATTTGATAAATGAATAGAAAGTCACTGGGGCAGATCAATATATCAAAATTAACATTACAATTGTTTGAAAATACATGTACATGAGAGACGTCTTGAACTTATTTCTTTTTACTATAGAACTATTCATTTTAAAGTTTTGGAAATTCAGTGTCAATTACCATTGTTTAATGAAGACTTATGAAATTTAAATCGTACTAGGCATATAGTTGTGGGCATATGAAGCCATTGTAGAGCTGATTTGACAGCTTGTTTTCTTAGCAATTATGCAAAATTGTTCTACGTTTGTCCAGTTTATCTTACTTCAACTAATTACTTATCTCACAGTCCGTCATTCTGTGTTATGCAGGTCAACAAACAATGACCCATTCTCTGTCTATTTCATGTTACCGAGAAAGCGTCACACTTTCCTTTTTCGTTTAGTTGAGCTTCACATTATAGTTATTGCGTGTTAAAGGGAAAACGATCACTGTGTATATAAATAAACGTCTAACTTTTGTACATGTGCTATTAGCCACAACAAAGACAACAGACAATTTTAGGGACCATATATAAATCTTCTTATGAAAAAATACCCTCCAATCCATATTAATACAATAAAATTGACAACTTTTGATCACTAATAACTTTTCTTAAACATTTAGCAATAAAGGAAACCTTGATTATCTAATAAGCTTGTATTTATACTTAATTCCATTATTGAAATTAACCGGGTTATCGACATTCTGTTAAAAAGTTATTATTTGGATCTTTACAAGAGTTTTTCAACTGAGACTCGGGGTGAAACCGCTCTAGGTTCGAAAGTCATTTCGAATGCATCATAAAAGTCTGACACGTTATAGGTCTAATACACCAATATTAAGAAAAAATACTTATTTTCTATTTTACACGGCGATTTTCAAATATTTGGATTACAGCGTTCCCGATGGATTTAGTGAAAAGAGCTTCGGAGGTACCAAATTATTTCAATTCTATTTTGTCCTTTTCTATACATATTTAATTTCCAGATTCATTATTCTGTGAAATACATGTTAAAATATTTAATGATTTATTTCATAATTTGCAATGCAGCATACGCAAAGATAATACAATATTCCAAAGAAGTCAATGTATTTGCCACCCTGTCTCCCCTATATATTGAA